TTGACGAAAATATAAAATTCATCATTTTACCATAATAAAACGGGGGCAGATGGTCTGGCATAATTAATCAGTTGTTATTTTTCAAAATTCTTTTTCTACCATTTTAAGTAACTCTTCACCAATGTTTATCACTTCAACTCAATCACTAGCATCACACTTGAAATATTATCACTTAAACTTTAATCGCTAATATCACATAACTACTGAGCTACAAATTACAATCGATAAAAAAAAAAAAAAAAATCTCCTTCTCCGTCCTCTCATGCAAATTTTTTTCCTATCTCTTGCATTAAGATTTCTATGCTTACTAATTGTTGAATACACTAATTTTACTGGAGTTCTATTTCAATGTCCGAGTGTTTTTTTTTTCTATTTTTCCTCCTTAAGAGATTCATTAATCAATTACTACAATTAATTGCTTGATTTAATTTTTTTCTTCTATATTTTTATGAGATTTAAGCACATGAGACGTGCAATCCCCCAATATCTTCTTTAATTGCACCTCCGCTCCATTTTCTCCTGTATTCCTAATTGGAGCTAATATCTTTGTTTTTTCATATGATTAAAAAAAGTTAAGGGTGTGCTGTTAACAAACTTGGGAGTACCAACATCAGCTCCCTTTTAGAAATTGTACTTTGTATAATCCTTACTAGCTTGCTTGATTACACTACTGTAAATTTACCTGTGTGCAATTAGTACCAAGAAAATAGGAATTAATCGTTTTCAGCTGCTTTGTTTTTTCCCACATGGCAATTCTATTGTGTGTTGAATGAAAGGTTTCTCGTATAGGACCAAGTTGATATATGCCCAATTGGATTGAATTGAAAATAGAAATCCAAAACTTTTTAAAATTTGCAAATAGTGAAATCCATGTTTGATCGAAATAGAAGCTTAAGGCAAACTGTCAATTAATTTCATATCCACATTTGGAATAAATCATAGGGATTACTAATTACATTCGAAAACAAAATCAAAAGATTGTTTGCATGTGGTGTTGAAGTGCCAGAATTGTCTTTCTCTATTTTTTTAAAATATTTAAAATATAAATGAATGAGTTCTTGAATTCAAAATCTCTCATTTTTTTTTTTCATCTTATGCTCCCTTATCCACTGGATTTGTCATTTCTCACGTACAAACATATAAAATCATTGAAGCAATGGCCTTTGTGTGGCAATATAGCCTGCGGTTTCGTCATTTCCTGAGAAAAGAGACGTGTAAAGTTATAATTCTTCATGCAAGATGAGAAAGACATTCTCATGGGAAACGAAAGCATTCACGTTCTTGTAATTCTGCATTTCCCACAAAAAGTCAACACAATAATGACAACTAACTGCACAACGCACATGCCAATAATGGCCCTCTTTATGAGAACTAAGGTCAGCACTTACGTATGTCAATGTGATAACAGTAAGAAATGATTTAAATCCTGATCCAGTGCCGTGCATGAATAGATCCATCATATTTCGTAAAATAAATTTTTTTATTTTATAAAATTAAATCAGCAAAATTTAGTCCCAACTTAGATTTTTAACCACTTTTTCCCTTGAAACCATCACCTGATCTATACATGATTAATTTTTTTTAGAGGCAAAAAGACTAAATCTCATTTATAGTTAAATAAATAATTCAATCCATATTCATTTTTTTCCCCTAAAACGTAAGATCTAATGTGAACTATATTCATTTTTTCCTTAAAAAGGTGAAATTTGATTCGATCCATATTCATTTTTGCTACTAAAAAGTAAGGTCTGACCCTTCTGTATATAAAAAATGATTGCACGTGGGTGATATAGTGATTTCACGTCTAAAAGTGATCAAAAACTTATGGTGGGATCAAATTTTATTAATTTAAATTTATAAAAAATGTAAAATTAATAATTTAAAAGTAAAGGACAAGAAATTTATTTAACAAAATGCGAGGCACATCCTTGAATGACTTTCCCTAGATATTGTAGCGTAAACAAGAACAGCATTTAAGTATTGATTTTCTGATTCTTCACGAATCACTCAAGGAAAGTATTGAAAGACAAAATGCCTTCAGAGAGGGAACAGTTGAACTTGGTGTTGATACCTCTGTTGTCACCAGGACACATAATTCCCATGATTGACATGGCCAAAGTGTTGGCAGGGCATGGTGTGACAGCAACTATCATTACCACAGTCAAGAACGCCGGCCGTTTCAATGCAGGAATCGATCGTGTAGCTGCGTCCGGACTCCCCATTCGACTTCTTCAAGTCCCATTTCCATGTGAGGAGGTTGGATTGCCCCGGGATGTGAGAGTCTAGATAATCTACCGTCCTACGACTTAGTAAGGAACTTCTTCAAAGCAATTGATATGCTGCAGCAGCCAGTTGAAAAGATGATTGAAGAGCTAATTAAGCCAAGTCCATGCTGCATCATCTGTGATAAATATGTTGCCTGGACGGCGCAAACAGCTCGTAGATTCCGGATTCCATGGATTTCTTTCGACGGCATGAGTTGTTTTACTCAACTGTGCATTCATAATTTGCAGATGACTAGAATTTACGAGGGCATCTCTGAGGGGCAGCCTTTTGTTGTGCCTAATATGCCGGACAAGATTGAATTTACTAGAGCTCAGCTTCCAGGAGCGTTTAATCCGGGCAGCTCCGTGGCAGATCTGAAAGGTATTCGAGAGCGGGTGGAAGCAGCTCAAGTAGAAGCATATGGGATGGTTGTCAACAGCTTTGAGGAAATGGAACAAAGATATGTACATGAATTCCGAAAAGTGAAGGGGGGTAAAGTTTGGTGCATTGGACCTTTATCAATGAGCAACAAGGAAAACTTGTATAAAATTCAGAGAGGAAGTGAAGCTGGCTCTTTCGATGAAGACTTGTGCTTGAAATGGCTGGACTCGAGGCAGCCAGGGAGTGTAATATATGCATGTCTTGGGAGTCTCGGCCGCCTCGCTCTTCAGCAGTTCACAGAGCTTGCGTTAGGACTGGAAGAATCCAATCATCCGTTTATATTAGTTGTAAAAGAAGAAAAGAAAGAAGAGACAGAGAGGTGGATTGCAGAAGATGGGTTCGAGGAAAGAACAAAAGGGAGAGGCCTTCTGATACGAGGGTGGGCCCCTCAGGTACTAATCTTATCTCATCCAGCTATTGGCGGATTCTTAACACACTGCGGTTGGAACTCAACCCTTGAAGCAGTTTCTGCTGGTGTGCCGATGATTACATGGCCTTTGTTTTCTGAGCAGTTTTTCAATGAGAGGCTAGTGGTTCAAATCTTGGACATTGGAGCCAGTGTCGGAGCTAAAGCTGTAAGGCACCTGGGAGAGGAAGAGAAGTCCGGAGTAAGTGTTAGAAGGCATGAAATCCACAAGGCCATCAGCAAGGTAATGGACGGGGGAATGGATGGAAAAGAAAGAAGGAAAAGAGCGAAACAAGTAGGGGAGATGGCCAAGATGGCAGTGGAAAAAGGGGATCGTCTGACCTCAACATTGAACTGCTAATACAAGATATTATGCAGCTAGCATAGCGAACAAAGCAACAATCCAATCTCATTTCAAGGGATGAAATTTGGAACAACCATATTTTGATCCACAGAAATGACACAAGCTGCAGAACATGCACTCATTTTCCATTCTCAATTAGTTACATTTTTGCAATCTATGTTGCTTTATATTCTTTCTTGGACATTTTCCAGGTGCAGATGGATGTTGACAAGGTACTAAAGTGGAAATGATTGGGAAAAACAACTGTCTTACAACAGTAGGGACTCACAGGCAAAGCCATTTTGGACCATCAGTCCATATTAGAAAACGATTTCCTGCAAGTACTGCTTACTATGCTAAAAAGGATATGAACCATCAGTCCATGCTTTAGTTCTCCTTCTTACTTCTCCTCAATATTAGTCATTTTCTCTCCTCAAACTTCCATTTAACTAAATAAACTAGTTCAGAATTTTCCATCCAACACCTTGCTGATCAAGTCGTCTAACCTCGATCAAAGACTGGAACATATTATACTGTTGCTGAATTACTAGAAAGTGTGGAAATCCAAATTGATAGAAGCAGGAGCAAATCTTAGAGGATGAGTAAGTGGATTAGGTGGCCCTCTGCTGGGATGTTTCTTAGTGAACATTTTGAATTAGAGTTTGACCAATATGGCAATCTAATCTTCTATGGTAAACTTTTGCAACTCATCGTCCATAGTAATTCAACCCTCTTCTTTTTACATTATAATGTCAGCATCCCATTTGGCAAATTCTCTAATTCGGTGATTCCTTCTGAGATCAGTACCAAGACAAGTTAAGTTAAAATCTCAGAACTCATCAACCACCAATAAAAATTCAACTGAAATCCCATTCAACTGCAAGTCAGGAGAAGGTATTAAAAGTTAAGTGCTTCTACCTCACTTCACTTCAAGTGGTTTCACTATACTGTAATGAAACTGATGTTCACCAAATCTGATTGGAGTTATATTCTTTTTAAAAGCTTAAAATCAAGTGAATTTAAAAGTAGAACCAATCTCGTAGATTCTTGTCTATTGTGCTTGTTTAATGCTTGCCACTACAAAGGACAACCATCCCAGCCATCTCTTTAACAATGATATTCTCTTGGTAATAGTACCTATAGCCACAGGCCAACTGGTAAGCCTATGCAAATTTCTTAATTCGACTCTAACTTCTCACTCCTTCCCCCTCCCCCCTCCCCCAACCCCACCCACCCCACCCAAAAAAAAAAAAAACCTTTAATAACATTGTCACAGAATGATGCAAAAAGTTCAAGCACCAGGACTGCTTGGAAAAATGTTTCCAGGGTTTGATGAACTTCATTGAACCAATATGAAATTGAAGCTAGTTATTACAAGGCTGAAAATAGTAGTATAAATTTCATAGCAATAACATTCGTTTATATAATGAAACCAATTGATAGTGTACTTATTGTAGCTTTCAAAACTAACTCAAATTTGAATACTACCGAATAGCTGTCACCTTTACATACTGAAACTTTAATCATGATATCCATGTAACTTACTAATCAGTTCGATCTTCTCTCCTACATTCACATCCAACTGATTCCATGCCCCTATCAGATTATATACGTGAGTAATTCTTTAATCAATTCAATCACTTTCTCCATTTGTTGCCAACGAGTAATTTTCAAGCCTTTTGCTTACTTAGGATGTCTCTTGATCTTCCTCACATTACACTATTTTCCCTATTGCAGCCTTCTTCTGAGGCCCCTTTCCTGGAGCAACAATAGCTAATTATCAGCTATATAATATGAGAGAAGAACATACACATGATAATTCCCCCCATATGACATACTCTTACCACTTAAATTTTCTAAAAATAATACATCACCAATATGGGTTTATCCACATTAAGCCAGTCATGGAGTTAATGTTCTAACCCTTTCTCCAGCCATGTCTGTGAATTCATAATTTAATCCTACCTAAAATAATCATAACTGAAGCAACATAGAAGTAGAATAAAGCTCCAAATTTTTTACCCAATTTAGATAACATCTCATAACAACGTTGCAAGAATCTTATTTGACCTCAACGATCAATCCATTTATTCTTACTTAACGAAGCAGAATGCCAGGAAAAAGTTGGAAACTTCAATCAATTTACTTGATTGTTTCCACTTTCCTAAATTCTGTCAAATTGAGACAAGATAGGGAAGGAGCTCGTTTAATACCTTTACTGATCAAAAACACAAGATTACGTTGTTGCCTGCGGGTTAGTGGCGGCCACATGACAGACTCCTGCTACTTAATCATCTTCCTAAGGGGGGAGAAAATGCAAGCTGATTTCGAAGCTTTCATTCATCCATCTCGGCACCATATTCTAGTAAAACGTACCTGCACACAAGGAGCCCAAATACAATGACAAATCCAACCAAAACCCCAAGAAAAGGAAAGCATAAAAAAGTCCATTTCATCAACAAAGGTAGTAGAAACGAAATTAATTACCACACGGACGATTACTTGAGTTTATGGTATATCTACACAATAAAAGACAATCTAAGAAAGAGAACAGATGGACACTAGGCCTTGTTTGAAAAGCCATTTTTCCCTAAAAGAAAGTTTTACACTTTTAATTATTTTTTTATCTTATATATATCAAAAATTAGACTTTTAGATATGATTTCATTTAAAAAATTACTATACTTTTGGGAAAGAGAGGACCTGATTAATAGAAAGAAATGCACAAGATAAGGAGGAGGAGACAGCGTGGCTGGGTGGAAAAAGCTTGAGAGATGAACTGGGGGCAAAATCGTAATTGGACACAAATACAAAAGTCATCCCCACTGCTCCCTTGCCTAACACACACAAAACATTGACACCCACCAGTAGGGATTTGGCTCCACTGCATAGTGGATTCTCTCTCCATTTTTCTACAATGTGTATCTAAATATGTAATATGTGTCTTTATTTAATAAAATAAGAGTTAAGATTAGTCAAATTTAAAATGATCATACTCCTTTGCTTTCTAGTAAAAGCACATATCATGTATAAGAAATAGAGAGAGAATTCGTTGAAAAGGAACCAAATCCCTACCCGTAATCCCCTACTCTAACAAAATGAAATTACACCATAGTCCACAGAAATAAGGGGATGAAATCTGAGCTTCCAATTGCAAACTCTCACTTTTGTAGTAGTTTAGATTAGATTTGATATAACAGAAGCTTTGTATTTTATACACAAGAAATCTCTATCCAGATGTGTGCAGCCTTTAAAAGTTAAGACCTTATTTGGATTATGATTTTTTGGAGAAAAATTTTTATGTTTTTTAGTAAATATTCCTTTTACACAATTTCAATTATCTTTTTCGTTCACATATATCATATTTTAAAAATTTTTATTATGAAATGCCTTAGCTAAGAGCTGCTAATATCATTAGCCTTAATGATTGATGGAGCAACTGATGAAAACAAGATGACCTCAAAATAATCCACTAACCTACCCAAGAATACGTTAATTACAATATCCTTCCTCATTAACCTTTTCTTAACCTTTTATACACCTCGTCTCATTTAGTGTATTAAATTAACTTCAAAACCCAGATATTGCTTTGCTTGATGATGTAATTAGAATATTCTAGTGCCATGTAAAACGCTACAAGAAGCGTGCAAAAACAATACTAACGTGTTTCGTTAAAATATTTATACTTTCATTTTTATTAATCACACTCCCAATATCATTTTAATTATGTAGTTTTCATTTATTAAACTATCTGATAAAACAAATAGTATGAGTGTAAATAACAAAACATCGAGTACAAATAACATTTCTCTTTGTCAAATAGGACATTTTCAATATTTTATCTTACCACATAATTTGGCAAGCATGCTTCAAATTTTTTATTCTTCATCTTTATTGCAAAGTGCAGCAAAATCGGTAATCGTCCATCCAACTTCTTACCGTTATGTCCTGAAAACCGAGAAATGAATTATTGCAAATTTTACCGTTACCCAAAACCGACAAAAGACTGCAAACTCCACAATCCTCCTAACGGCTAGATTTCCTTCTCCTCTATTTAAACAGATGCCCCTCCCCGCCCCAACCACAGCCATCTCCATCTGCCTCAGAAAATCATCTTTCTTTCTCCCTATCTCTCGCTGTGTCTCTTTTAGTGTGTGTTGTGCGTGTTTTTCTGCAGTAGTAAAAAGGAACTCTGAGAATGGCTTCTTCATCATCAACTATACTAGTCGGTTCTTGTCTCCTCTGCTTCTTCTTCTTCAGCTTCTCTGAAGCTGACAGAGACCTTCTTGTTGGTGGCAAGCCAGATTCCTGGAAAATCCCTTCTTCCAAATCAGATCATCTCAACAACTGGTCTCAAAAAGCACGTTTCGTCATTGGTGATTCTCTAGGTAATTAATCAATTTCTCTTCAAATTCCTTGAGATATTAAAAGTATAAAGACACATCCCTTTCCATGGTTTTATTCAACTTCTCATCCTACGGATCTGGATCTATTGACACTGAAATTTTATATCGTTTTGAATTTTTTATTGCTGTGTAATATTACTATTGCACAAAGAAAAACAGCCCTTTTGTCGTTTTATTCGATTCTCATGAACACTGAAATTCCTGTGTGACAAAAAAGGCAATAGAAGCATGCATTTTTTTTTTTTGTAGTTTTATCGAATATTTTATCCTATAGGTTTTTTATTAAGACTATTTTACAAAAAAAAAAGAAAGAAACCAACCCCAACTCTACTTATTTTTTAGTCATATTGATTTATCAACACTGAAATTCCTTTTTGGCAAAAAAAACAAAGAGAAAACATCCCTTTTTGTAGTTTTATTGAATTTTTATCCTGCTGATTTTATTAAAGACTGAATTTTTTTTGAAAAAGAAAGAAAAGGATAGGAACCCCTGCTGTACTTTTCTTTTTTTCCCATCATATTCATTTTTTTCTTTTAATTTGGTGCAGTATGGAATTATGACGGACAAAAGACTCTGTTTTACTGGTGAACAAGAAGGATTATGTGACCTGCAACACATCAAGTCCAATTGAAGCACACAATGATGGGAATACCAAAATTAAGCTAGACCATTCTGGACCATACTATTTCATCAGTGGAGCTCAGGGCATTGTGAAAAGGGCCAGAAATTGCTTGTGGTGGTTATATCTGAAAGGCATACCAGAATATTCATCTCTCCAGCTCCTTCTCCTGCGGAGGAATTTCTTCAAGGTCCAGCTGTGGCTCCTACTAGCTCTGCTTCAAGGTTCAAAGGCAGCTTGTTTATGGTTGCTTTGGGGGCTGTGCTTTTTGGGGAATGTTTTGATTTGATTTGATTTGAGAACCTTTTTGTCCTTTCTTTATTTTTTGCATTTTGGGGTTGGGAAATCTTTGATTGAATTGTGGCTCTGTCACTTGATTCGAGTGAAATATTATTAGTTTGGCAATATCCTGATATTCAATTTCTTTTTCAATTTGTCCATTCTAATTCTTTTTGTATATCTTTAAGGAATTAATATAAAATTTGTTTGGGCAAGTGAAAATTGCAACTCATTTGACTATTTGAAATTTTAATATTGGGCAGAAAATCTAGATGACAGAGGAATATGAATGGTAATACTGCTATTTGGCACTGTTATCAAATATGGAATAGTTCGAATTTGGCAATTCTTGTGATTAATGGTAATAATACTTACACCCGAAAAAAAAAACCTTCTCTTTTCTCTGACCAGAAAATCCTCATACGAGGGGTTAAATATAATTACCTGTTTTATCTCACGTGTGCTTTTGAACAAAAATTGCTATATAGATTACCTAAAAAACCAATTATCTGAACAGATAGTGCAAGAACAAATAAATGGCTTCTAAGGGAAATACAACCACTCTATTGACTGGGAATGATATTTCCAATTGGAGATTGATGGCCCAAATCGGCTACAGATATAGTGATCCATATTTGAGCGATCTTTTTTTTTTTTTTTTCAACACAAGGGTGTCCGGATCAATTTTACGGGGCCCAACTAATCCCCTGCGACCCAGCCCGGCCAAGGACGATATGTGCTCGGAGGAATAGCAGTTGGAGGTGCTACCGCTGGACCATTCACACGGGACATATTTGAGCGATCACATGTATTATTTTTGCCTCAAAGATTCATTCAATTCACTATTCCCAATAATAATGTAGTTCAATAGAACTATTCAGTAGCCAAGGTAGGACACTTGAAGTCTTTCTCGCTACTAAAGTTAGAATTCGAATCATATACATGATAGAATAATAATGATAGTTGAGAGTCAGAAGACTCAGAACTCTTAGAATCCTTTCCACTCACAACTAGGTTCAGGATTTGAAGTAGTCAAGGCGAGGGGAGTTAAGGTAGAATCAGTAGTTAGGGTAAGAGAGGTTAAGTAGGGGCTTGACAGTTGGGGGAGGAGTGCGGAGAGGGGTGAGAGGATAAAAAAAGAGAGGCTATTTTCCAAGAACAAATTAAACACTAATAATCATAATAACGTGTTAGAGTGCATTACGAGACAAATGTACAAAGACAGGCAATTCCTTAAAGAGTGATAAATATAAAATTGTTAATCGTAAAGAGTGGTAAATATAAAATTGTTGCTCAGTAATACTAATTGACACAAATTCACATATTTGTGTATTTGGTAATATGCAAAGTGGGTTAGCTTGGGAATAACTTGGGAAACTTACGGCGGTTAGGAATAACTTGGGATAAAACAAAAGTAATAAAAGTGGATTCAAGCTTATAGCGTTTCTAACTTGGAAAATAATTGATCCCATTCCAAAGTGGATTCAAACAAAAAAAAAAAAAGAATAAAAGGAAAACACACACAAACACAAACACAAACACAAACACAACAATTGAACCTAGTCTACCCATATAAATTACCGTAAGCGGGTCTAAGGCTGCAAAAGGAATAATTAGCAGATAGTCTATTATTACTTTAACTTGAAGTTTCTGCTTCTCAAGTCTATAAATACGTCAATAATCAGGCTATTCTGGCAGGGAAAAAGTTCTTTGGCATTGCAATTATGGATTTTTCAAATCTTTATTCCGATTTAATATTCGAAATCCTTGCTCGAGCCTCACTAAACACATTGGATACTTGCAAATTGGTATCCAAAGATTGGAATCGACTTGTTTACGAGTCAAATTCATGCCTAGCTACTGCAAAAATACCTCCAATGTCTATGGCTACTTGATTCAAAATCTTGTTGCAAACCGGCATCAATTCCGGTTTGTGTCGTTCAATTCTCAGCCACCAGAAGGGCATGATCAAACCTGCATCAGAATATCAACCCCAACTCCGGCTGATGATATGAATATCAAGCTTCTTCGAAGCAAGGAATTTTGTGTTGTGTGAGACGAAAAGGTAAAGAATATCGATACTACGTGTACAAACCTAGTACACAGCAATGGCAAAATTTACCTAATCCAAAGTTGCGACTAACAACTCTAAAAGTTGCTTTGGTGGTGCTACGTTCCAACCCTTTATGGTACAAAATTATCAGGATTTCACGCCACAAGTTTCGTAAGTATTGATGATTTTTTTCCATTTTTTCTGTCGCACTAATGTTAATAATCTGTTACTGTTGATTGACTAGGATTTTTTTTTTTTTTGGAGGAATTTGACTAGTA